GATCTGGTGCTGAATTCCACACCCTGATGAGGATACAAATATCTGGATGCCCATTGGATGGCAACAGAGATGAAAAAACAGAACAAAAATTCTGCTGCCATTTGGTTGATACCTGGATTTTTGCAGCCCAGAGAGCCCTATCCAACTTTATTGAAAATACAGAGTAAGGGGGTGAAGAAACTGCCTCATTTCCTTTACGCCACTATGATTTTACCCCCTTCCCCATCTCTCCTTCCCCCTCAGACCCAGCTGGCTTCATGTCTAAGGCAGAACTAGAATTCCCAGTCTCCCATTTTCTAGCTTCCACCAAATTGGCTCTCCTGAATTCCTTTACCAAGGAAAATGAATTCCTTTATTTTAATTCTTCAGTCCCTAACTTAGAACGACCGACTATTAAAGCATGGTCTTCAATTGGCATCATCACATCTCTAGCCCTCCACCTGAAAGAACATGAAGTAAAAACAAAACATTTCTGGTTTTAAAACAACAGATTCAGAAACCAGTTTTAGATCTAACCATGCTAGGATTCTACAGATTCAAATGACCAGGTATTAGGCCTGATATCAGTGACTAACTTTACTTGTGCAACTGCCATCTCTACACAGGTGTCCATGGGCTGGGGCCCAAAAAGCAAAGGTGATGGCTAGGGTGGTATAATCAAACCTTCATCTGAATTTTAATCCATGTTAAAACTCTTTTTTTTAACAACACTCTGCAGACTCCTTGTCTTTCTAGTACATCAAGAGCACCGTACGTGCGTCAGAAACTCTGCTTTTTTTCCTCTAGGTCTGTAGGTACCTGCACCAATCAGAAATAAGCTGGGCAACTGCCATTTTGCTGGAGCTGAACAGCCAGAGTTGGAGAGTTAAAACAGATCAGATCAGCCTTCCCCAATCTGGTAAATGTTAACTGGGTTAGATCTGTACATTTCTATAGTTTCATTATTCTTCCAATTTGCCATGTATATGTCATAATAATTATAGCAGCCTTTAGAACCAGACTTTTCATGCTTGCACTTAGAGGTCTGTGTTGTATCATTCTCGGTCTACTTTATCCTTTTGTTAAAAAAAAAATGTTGCATCTCAAACATTAGGGATGAAAGATAACATTATTAAGTTATCCAAGCTATTTCTCCTTAAATTCTTTCTTTCTTTCTTTCTTTACAGTTTTGTCCAATTTAGTTCCAAGAACTAGCAGTAGTGGTATTTCTACTACAATCATGAATCTACTCTATTTAAAGCATGGAACTTCTCTCAGAGACTTGTCCCAATCCTAAAAAGAATTTTGTACAAATGTACATTTTATTTATGTTGACAAAAAACAACAACAACACTGGAGCATTAGAAAAGTAAAGAATGATTATATGTAAGCTCTGAATATTTGCAAGCTAGCTAGTATACACATGTGATATTTTGGAACCTTGCCAATAGAGCTTTTTAGGAACACATGAGAACTCCGTGCTTTAAAATTCCCAGTCAAGAACTATTAATGTAAATAAATTAAGTCTGCTTTTAAAGAGTAGTGTAAATATAATTTAATTAAGCCATTAGTCTTTGGCAGTTCTTATATAATACATAAAGAGTATATACAGATAATCTTCTATTTACAACAGTTCGTTTAGTGACTGTTTGAAGTTACAATGGCATTGAAAAAAGTGACTTATGACCATTTTTCATACTTACGACCATTGTAGCAGTCCCATGGTCACGTGATCAAAATTCGGACACTTGGCAATTGGTTCACATTTATGACGGTTCACCTTTTGCAACCTTTTGACAAGCAAAGTCAAGGGGGAAGCCAGATTCACTTAACAATTGTATCACTAACTTAACAACTGCAATGATTCACTTAACAACTGTGGTAAGAAAGGTCATAAAAGGGGACAAAATTCTCTTAACCACTATCTTGCTAAGCAATGGAAATTTGGCGCTCAGTCGTAAGTCGAGGACTACCTGTAACAACTTAGCATTTAATTCAGAAATTTGACCGTGGCATTCTGTCTCTGATTACCATTTGTTTTTAAAAGTTTAGAGTTAAATCAGACCAGATTATCTGGTTAATATTTATTCGCTGGTTTGGAGTTCTACTTGCTCGTAAAATTGGGCAAAACTCACTTAACAAATGTCTCACTTAGCAGGTTAAATTTTGGGCTCAATTATGATTGTAAATCCAGGATTATCTGTATTCCCAATTTACCTTGATTTTTTTTTTTTATTTACTCACTGTCATTTAAAGGTGACGAGGATAAAGAAGCTCAGAATGATTTATGCTCTGACTCCATTTCCGGAACAGCTGAGAAACAATTGATATGATCTTGGATAAGTGTTATACAATGTGTTGATGTATTGGAGACGGTGCATAGACCAGGTTTGGCTTTGGGGTGAAACAGTTTATGGCTTAATTCACACAATTAGGGAAGCTTCTAAAATGTGGTCAGGTAGGAAGTCCAGAAATCTAGTCCATTGTTGAGCAAGCAAATCTGGGGAAGGGGCTGTGTAAAACATGTGCATAACAATTATCAGGCACTACATCCCCATTTATCACCTGCAAGAAATATGTCCACTCCCATCCAAAGAGTTATGGGGAGGGAGTCATATTCTGAAAAGCTTGGGTGAATGCTGATCAGGAGTGGGATGTTCCGAGAACAGCCTATGCTGATAAACTGTAATCAGGTCATGCCTATGCAATCAGAGAGTACAGCTGCCGCACCAAAGTTCAGCTCTGATGGCAAAGTCTTGTCTTTCAGCTCACACCTAGGATTTCATTAAGCAGAAGAGTGACAGCCTAATCTCCATAGGTTGCACACAGATTCGCTATTCTCTGAATGTGAATGTGGAGAGTGAATTTGATACCCTCTGAAACCAAAGGAGAAAAAAAAAACTATGCAACTTAAAATTACCATCCTACCTCACCCCATGTCTGTCTATTTAATTTGTATCTTTCAAATGAAGAACAAGCACGCAAGAGGGAAGAAACAATCTGATGGAATAATACAGAAATGAAAGTAAACTTTCACTCATAGTAGATTTGATTTGGGCTGCTCCTGTCTCAAATCGCTTCCTTGGGGGTTCTGGGAGCTGGAGGACACACTTTGGGGGGGAGATTCTGGGATCTAGATGGCACCAGATTAGGGAAGACTGTCATAGTTCCCCATGAGGAAAATATTCCATTCCCATTTAGTTAGGACAGGGGTAGGCAACCTTGGTTCTTTTATGACTTTTGGACTTCAAAACCCAGAATTCCTGAACCAGCCATGCTGATTCAGGAATTCTGGGAGTTGAAGTCCACAAGTCATAAAAGAGCCAAGGTTCCTCACCCGAGTTAGGAGAAAGCAGAAGGCTGAACTTGGGATACTTTGGGACCTGATGACCTCAGTCATGGAGAATGAAACCTATTTACACAGTCCTGCTCTTTCAGCTAGGCACACATCTCCTTCAGCATTTTGTTTCTTTTATAGCAAAGAACTAGAAATGATTGGGGTCCCCTTCTCTCTCTCTCTCTGTGGCGACTGTCCTTGCAGTTTTCTTGGCCAGATTTTTCAGAAGTGGTTTGCCATTGCTTCCTTCCTGGAACTGAGGGAGAATGGCTGGCCCAAGGTCACCCAGTTAGCTTCGTGCCTAAGGAGAGACTAGAATTCACACAATTTCCAGCCTGGTGCCTTAACTGTTACTCTATACTGACTCTCATTCTCTCATTTACCAACTTCAGTTTTTACTCTCTTTTCCTTTCTCTGACAATCCCTTCGCTCCCTCCCTCCCCAACCAAGAGACTGCTGGAGAAAGAACAAATTGCTCCTGCCAGGGCTCTGAGCTGATTTTTGGCAGAGCTCTTTCAAAACTGGGCTGAGAGCTGTATAAAATTAGGCTGGAAGCTGCAGCCTACCAGTCCCAGCGCTACAGCGCAAAGACATTTTGAAAATGGAATTTCACAGAGAGAGAGACAGAGAGAGAAGGTTATGTCAACTGTATGGAACCCCTCGGCAAGTGAAGAAGCTGTATAAATTCATACAGCCTTGTTGATGGCGCTGGACTCTTTCACACGCATATAAATCTTGTTACATTAAAGTTTTATATGCTTTAGTGACAGGCACCCTGGACATACTGGAAATATCACATGATTATCTGGGGTTATTTTAAAAACAGAAAATAAACACTGATTTTAGCCTCAGATGTCCTGAGCTGGTGATTCTTTTAGGAAGAGCTGAGTAGCAACAATTTTCCTGGCCCCATCCCCATTAAAATTATGGCTTTTTGCCAGTTGAAGAATCTCAGTGGAATTTGAATGTTTCCAGACTATAAATATATTCTGTAGGTTATTCATCAAATTATTAAATAATAAACAGGATGATCCTGCTCATATTTGCCTTTCATTCAACATGCACTGGCTTTCACTCTGTTCCTCTTCATTCCCTCACCCAACCCCACCTGCACCCCAAGAATAGGAATCATCTCAAAAATCAGAAAACTTAGCATACGTTTCCCAAGCTAGATCCAAACTTTCTCCCCTTCTTTGTGAGAACTCAATGGGAGTTATCAGATAATTATTTTAATGAAGACATGGTACTATTCAGAAGATCATAGAATCATAGAAGGAAGACTGATCAAATACCCCAGGTTTTAAGGCACCTCACAAGTGATCTAATTTTTGACACAATAACAATTAATTATTGTTATATAATTAAATACAAAGTGTGAAAACACCCAAATGAAGCCTCCTTTTCTCAGATATGAATGTATTCTTGGAGGTAGCAATGCTGTTATCTGGACTGCCAGCTAAACACATTTTTGAAATCACACAAAGGCCACAAGGAACAAAAACCTAAGGGAAATGTGGGCATTTTTCACAACAAATCAGCACCAAATGAGCACTTGTTGTGCAATGTCTTTATCTGCAGAACATCCCTGTCCCCTCCCCACAAATTAGTTTCTACATCAGGCAACTGATGGTTTGGAGATGTCATATACCTATAGAAATGGTACTCAAGAGATGGCATGACATACCATGAACAGCTGCAACAACAGCACCAGCAGAAGCAACACGTGTTGTTGGCCCTTTGGTTTCCAGGAGCTTGAGACACAGCCGATGTTCCTTCATTTTGGGACTGTTGCCTTTTTCTCATTTCAGCTACTTCAGCACTCCTGCGGCTACAAGAATGTAGACATAAGAGAACGTCAAGGGAATGCAGCTAAACACATCCCAACAGCTCAGACCCACCTTCCAGATCAAAACTACAGACGCCATCAACCACAGCAGAGTTTAAGAAACTTAACAGGGGCCAAATTTAATCTCAGTAGTTTTGCTGTCCCTAATTAATAAAGCAGCATTTCCTTTGCAAAAAACAGGAGGGGAAATGGCAGGGTAGTAATCATGAAAAAAGTCTATTCTTTCAGGAAATGTTCAGGTAACCAAAAGACTTTCCTTTCTCTTCAAATTGTTTCATGTCTGTGGGGAAATAAGCATTCATCTACCCACTGGACAGTTTTACCTTCCTCCCAATTAAAGTTTTTCCCCTCCAGACCAAGAGAGCAAGAATTCAGGTTTAAGGACATTCTACTCCATCTATGAAGTGCTTGGAAGATGGTTCCTTCCTCACCAAAATAATCACTTTGTGTGGGTGTTGGACGGAGAAGCAAAGGGATGACATGACAAATTTTCTTGCTTGCCCAGATGTTTTTGAAGAGCCGGGCTGAGATAGGTAAGAGATAGGTAAGGTGGTTCTTCACAGAGATCTTGGACTTCAACTCTAATCAGCCCACCCAAAGGCAAGGAGTTGTGAGAACAAAAAGACCCAACTGCCTATTGTTAGCCCAGAGGCAGTGAGATTAGGCTTTGAGATTCAAACTGCAGAACTTAACTAAAATCTTTCCCAGGTCCTTTCTTATTATTCAATATTCATTTAGCTTCAGGAGCTCTTTTTCTTATTCATAATCTCCGAAGTGCATCTCACAGTTTATGTAACACTAGGTAACATTTAAGACAAAGTGATAAAACTATTGTAGCATTTTGCATTTTCTGTTCAGAAAAAGAACTGTAGTGGAGACACTCAGATGTAGGTATTGTTTACATGAAATCTGACAACAAGCAACAGAAAACTATATCTAATATCTAGGTAATACAGATTATAGTATTGTACAATTCAGCTTTATACCATACATAACGAGATATATGCTACCATCTAGGACAGTGGTGGCGAACCTATGGCACGGGTGCCAGAGGCGGCACTCAGAGCCCTCTCTGTGGGCACGCACGCCGTTGCCTTCAGCTGGGTTTTATAAAACCTTTTCTCTTTAGGCTTCCGCCACCGTGTACAAAAAAAAAAGATTCAATCAATCAGTCAATTTCAACTTCTTGCGGGGAAAAAAAAATCTTGCAAAGTTGGAATTGATTGATTGAACTTTTTAGTCCCATCCAGTCTGCTTTACCACCACAGTGACGCCCACCCAATGGGCCACACCCAGCCAAGGGGCCATGCCCACCCAGCACCTGACGATGCATAAGTGGGTTTTGCGTTGCAGTTTGGGCACTCAGTCTCTAAAAGGTTCGCCATCACTGATCTAGGAACTCTGTTCTGCCAGATCCTTGGCTATGTCATTGTTACTATTATTACAGGCAGAATATGATCTTTGTTCAGATTCTGGTGGTCCGTATATGTAGCAGCTGCATGATGCACAGGTCTGTATAATGAAGGTAACATTGTTTAATGCTGAGAATCCCTGCTGCCTCCCCCATCGCCAAATTATGGGAGCAAGATCCTCCAGTCTGAAAGAAAAAAATCTGCAATTGTTCGGTATCCTTTAGAGATATCCATAATAGTTAAACTTAAGTTAAAACTAGTGTTCTCTTAATTGGTTTCAGCAGAAATCTGTCAATAACTGTACTCAATGTATCATGCTATGCTTTTCCTTTCTTCCTGTCTGGCCCTATATATATGTCTTCAATATTTAAAGAAACAGGAAGACCATATTTAGAAGACCAAATGTGTTACTTGCTGTTTGGAGCCTAAGCAAATTTATTGATGATTTTAAAAACCCATCAAGGATAGATGGATGAATAGATAAAACAATTTCCTATATTTCGTATCCATACTTATGCCCAAAAATATATCTTATTGATTTCAGTAGTCTAAGTCTTTATATGAGTTCTATTTTAGATGCATAGAGTCCAAAGAATAGATCAAGTATTTATGGGCAATATATTGATAGTGAAACAACCAAATATTTCTATTTCTCAGAGAAGCACAACTGCACATATCATTTATTCCAGCAACATCCTCCATTAGTTGCCACTAATATTGCTATTGTCATTTCTACTTAGAGAAGCAATCAATCAGCTCAGCCACTGATGGACACCATTAAGCAGAAGCAAGTTAGAGAAATGTTATTATTAATTTCATTCATAGTCCAAGATTGTTCTGTGGTCCTTTATAATTAAACAGCAAGCTGCCCTATGAAGCACAGTTCACTCTAAGCTGCATAGAAGCTGCACAGAAGCCTGCTGCCATATTTAGGAATAATTAATTTCCACATACTGCATTCTGCCCATAAAAGTAATTAGCATGGAACGATCCCTGTGGCCTTGAAACAATGTAATGAAATGGAATCTTGACAGATATAAGACTGCCACCAGCACAGTTAACCTATATATTCACATATGCTCCACCCTCCTCATTAACACTCACAATTCTATGACTAGGCAAAGTGTAAAGACTGTAGCCAGGACCAGTTTCTACAATTAGAAAGAGTGTGGCAATTGTCTCAGATAATAGTTGCTGAGACAATTGTCTTTCTCCCCAAAGACAAAATTGTGCATGCCACAAAGTCTGTCCTGTCCATTCCATTATACAAATCAAATGTTGTCTTGAGGGCAAGGGAAGATGCCTTTTATTACTAAGGCTGAATTAGGATTGGATCAAAATCCTGCTTATTTCTCTGACACAAGCAGCAAAGTGTCTTGAGATGATCTTGATTTTGGCTGAAAAAATCTGGTTCTGCTGCATTATTGATTAAATTCTTTATTAAAACTGAAAACAGGACAATGGTCAACAGGTTAAAATTGAAAGCAAGGCAATTCAGAATGGATATTAGGATGTATTTCCTAACAAAGCAGATAAGAAGAGTTGTGGCTTATCCCTCTGAGGATTGTTAAATAGTAATTCCTCTATTGAGCAGGTATTGGATTAAATAGTAGTAGACTTAAATACCACTTCATAGTGCTTTACCAACCTCTCTAAGTGGTTTGCAGAGTCAGCATATTGCCCCCAACAATCTGGGTCCTCATTTTACCAACTTCGGAAGGATGGAAGGCTGAGTCAACCTTGAGCTGGTAAGGCTTGAACTCTGGCTGTGAGCAGTGAGTTAGCCTGTAATACTACATTCGAACCACTGCATCACTACCACAGCTCTTGGTATATGGTATATGTCTAAATGACATGTACGATCCCCTTCATAAATTCTATGACTGAATCAGGGTAGACAACCTATTTCAGGTAATTTGAATTACAACTCTTATAAATTCCAATAGTCAGGAACTATGCAATGGCATCTAAAACATTCTGGTCTATGCACTTCCATTTCCTACAGCCAGTGCCCATAATTCCTTTTGCAGAAAACTATGATATGATCTGACGTATATTTTGATTATAACATCTTCATACCAGAAACAGCATCAATTGCACCCATGGAAACAGAAAAAAAATCACAAATGAAGGGGAAAAAAACCAGAGAAAATTCACCTTGAATACTGATTTGATTTGAAAAATAAATCTGATTTGATTCAGATGTTTATACCAAACCGTCAGCTTAGGTCAGTGATGGCGAACCTTTTAGAGACTGAGTGCCCAAACTGCAATCCAAAACCTACTTATGCATCGTCGAGTGCCGGGTGGGTGTGGCCCATTGGCTGAATGTGGCCAATTGGATGGGTGTGGCCCATTGGGTGGGCGTGGCTGCGGTGGTAATGGCAGACTGGGTGGGACTAAAAAGTTTAATCAATCAATTCCAACTTTGCAAGATCTTTTTTTTTACCGCGAGAAGTTGAAATTGACTGATTGAACCTTTTTTTTTTTGGTTGCACATGGCGACGGAGGCCTAAAGCGAGGTTTTATAAAACCAGCTGAAGGCCTAGGACTGGGGCAACAGCGCGCGTGCCCATAGAGAGGGCTCTGAGTGCCACCTCTGGCACCCGTGCCATAGGTTTGCCACCACTGGCTTAGGTTGATTTAATTCAGATTTGCAAACTAATTAGAAAAAGTCGTTGTGGCAAATTCAAAATTATCTGAATTGATTCAAAGGAATCTTATTTGATTATTCAAATCAACTATCCAATTCAAGTTGGAAAGCTGTTTTGATTTGAAGATTTGATTGGACCTTTGACTTGAATAAATAAACTAATCCATATTAGTACATCCTTAGCATTTATCTTCCATTCAACCTTATTACATTAATTTCCCAAAGAGGTCAAAGACTGGTAGTGCAATGTTATTTTAACACCAGATTAATTTCAGCTACTTCAGAGAGTCCGATTCTCTAGTGCATCTTTCCAGGATTACAACCAAAGGTAGTATTCCTACTCAATCTATTTCACTTCAGTAGAGTAGCCATTGCTATAATAATAATAATAATAATAATAATAATAATAATAATAATAATAATAATAATAATAATAATAATAATAATAATAAAGTTGGAAGGAGGCAACAGGACTTTCTTGTGTTTCTTTTGAGGACGTTTCACTTCTCATCCAAGAAGCTTCTTCAACTCTGACTAGATGGTGGAGAGTGGAAGGATTTATATTGCTTGCAGACAGATAAATATACATTCATGGGCAAGTGCACATCATTCTCATTAGTTATGGAGTCTTTAACTTAAATTAATTGACACATTCCAATGTACATTTATTTGCTCTTTTTCTCATTTGGAAAATAATTTAAACATTGAGATGAGTGCTGCAAACAAGAAAGGACTCTGATTTCATCATCTTTTGAACTAATGTATGTGAAGGAGAATAGGATTTGTATAATTGTTCACAGACTAAAGTTCTATGATCTTTTTAGTACAAAGTTTTCAGAAAACAATATGTCAAAAGAAAGCATCATAGCTGGCTCTGAGCAAGTTACATGCTTGCTACTGTGATTGATCTC